TCTCATTAGCCTGGCTGGGATTTGAACTCGCGACCTTGTGATCCACAAGGACAGTTGCTCTCCCAACTGTGCTAACTGCAGTAATATCTAATGACCAGTGACAGAAGAAACGAAAAAAAAGAAAAAAAAACCTCATTATAAATGTACTTACCTTCTCACATCGCACGAGTTTGCACAGAGGTACGAAGTGTTCAGCGGAGTGGCACGTCGTACTGTGACGAGCCACAATGATTTTTCACCGAGGTGACTGACGCACAGAGGAGCACGGCAATGAGTGTCACCGTTTGGTGTTGTGGTGCGCTGTGTGTTCGAGACTCTTGGCGGCGCTGCGACGTTGGATTGTCCGGTGCCACTCGAGCGCGTAGAGATACCACTCACGTAGCCAGTCGGGGTGGCTACAACCTTGGGATTAATGTTCATGTTGCATGTTTTGTGGACTAAGACAATGACCCCCCCCCCCATAGCCTTAAAATACTTTTGGGAAAAGTGCTTTTAGGGAGCACCAATGAAGGCCGGCACGGCACATGTGACCAGCGCCAAGCCTGGCCGCCTTCGTCTCAAAGGTGGTGATCTTAAAACAACACACCAGGTCCTTAATTGAGGCTGAGTCGACCTAGGGGAGGCCCAGGATCAGTTCAGATAATCATCATTGGTTTTAGTGGTGACCGTGAGTGGGAATCGACCTCGGGTCGCCAGATTCGTAGCACAGCAAGCTTACCACCACTCCCCATCACAGGATCACGATCTTAGATGCAGTCTCCATCCAGCAGTCCCACTCCCAGGATCTGGAGGCAGACACACGGTCAATGCTGGACTGTGACTCTGCCTCACTACGTACATCACAAGACAAGAATGCACAAGCACCGATTTAACAGCTCAAAATGTACAAATTACTCTTTCCTTCGTCGAATCCACACATAGAAATCGCTAGATCACATGGGCCTCTTGCTCTCCTACCCACGTGTGCATACTCAGACCTAGCAACCGCAATAGTGGGCCTCATTAATATAATTTAACCTCTAAAATATAGAAACACAACCAACAGCAATTAACCCCGATCTATACACTCATCAGAAGGGGAGTATATTAATGGATGGATCAGGTGACACACGTGAATCACGAGACTACAGAGATGTAGTCTCCATCCAGTAGGGTCACTGTGGCACCATGACCTGTAGGTAGTAGGTGCACACGGGACCTGAGGTAAGTCGGTTCACACAGGACCTGTAGTAGATCCACACAGAGCCTGTAGTATGTAGGTTCCCGCAGAACCTGTAGTAGCCCCACACAGGCAAGACCTGTAGTTGGTCCACACGGGACCTGTAGTAGGGCCACACAGGATCTGTAGTGAGTAGGTCCCCACAGAACCTGTAGCCCCACACAGGACCTGTAGTAGGTCTACACAGAACATGTAGTAAGTAGGTCCACACAGGACCTGTAGTAGGTCCACACGGGACCTTTAGTAGGTCTACACAGGACCTGTAGTAGGTCCACACGGGACCTGTAGTAGGCCCACACGGGACCTGTAGTAGGCCCACACAGGACCTGTAGTAGGTCCACACAGGACCTGTAGTAGGTCCACACAGGACCTGTAGTAGGTCTGTACGGGACCTCTAGTAGGTCTACACGGGACATGTAGTAGGTCTGTACGTGACCTGTAGGTCTACATGGGACCTGTAGTAGGTCTGTACGGGACCTCTAGTAAGCCTACACGGGACCTGTAGTAAGTAGGTCCACACGGGATCTGAAGAAGGTCCACACAGCTGCTGCTGCCCTATCAGGATGGAAGTTGCATAATCACCATCCTGGATCATCCTCGGTGCTGATGTTTCCTGGCTGACAACCGATTTGAAATGGGGTATATAATTGTCTTTCCACTACATAAGCACACATTTTAATTTTAACCTTTCGTGACTGCAGGAATCCATACTCTTTGGTTCTTTCGGTAAAGTCACATATGTATAAAATAAAATGAATCACGACGTTTTGGGCGCAACACAAGCGTCCGTCATCAGGTGGGAAAGCATGACCTGCTGCTGAGGCGGACTGTTTTAAAAGGTTTGAAATGGGTGTAGCCCTAGGGTAATAAAGAAGTGGGCGAGGCTAGTGATGTTAATGTGAGAAATTAAGAATTGACTGTAAGATTGGAGAGCGGCCTCCTCGACAAGAGCATTGAAGTGGTTATGTTAATGTGAGAGATTCGCATGTTAATGTGAAAACAAAGAGTAGTGCAATACAAAGCTGCTTCCTCGACGAGGGCATGGAAGTGCCTATGTTAATGTGAGAGATTAGCATGTTAATCTAAAATCGAAGGGTGTTGCAATCCAAAGGCATGAGAGTGCAACCCAAAGGGTGCAATCCAAAGGGCATGAGTGCAATCCAAAGGGCATGAGAGTGCAATGCAAAGGACATGTGAGCATGAGAGTGCAATCTAAAGGCATGAGAGTGCAATGCAAATGACATGTGAGCATGAGAGGTCTAGGAGAGAGGCATAGATAGAGACACACACAGAGAGTCGGAAATAATAGCTGACATATGCAGGTAGGGTGGAAACATCAGTCAGTTAAGACTTTACCTGGTTAATAACGTCCTTCCAATGATTTCTCAGTTTGTACCCATCCTCTCGGTTGAAGCTGTGTCAGTGTTTATATATCTGGATGGCTTCATGAACAAATCTCTGAAGGTAGCCAGTAGTTTTGCAGAGTACCTCCGTCTTGGAAAAATCAATTTCGTGTGAGCCCACAGCGTTAAAACAATGATCGGCAACGGCAAAGGTATTGGTTCTACCGTGTTTCAGATCCACCTTGTGTTCACGAACACGGTCCGAGACATGTCGTTTCGTGTCCCCAATGTAACTGCTGCCACAACTCAGTTTCTAGACACCAGGGTATTGCATGTCAGGAATCACATCCTTTACAGATGGGATAAAATCACGGATTTTGTGTACTGTGTTGAAACAACCCTGGATCTTGTGTTTGTTTAAGATTTTGGAAATCGTTTTGGTAACCTCTGCTATGTAAGGTAAAGTGATGGTTTTGGTTGGATCCTCAGAAGGTTGTCTCCGCATGGCTGGGGTGACAGCTTTGCGGATTGTATGGTCCGAGTATCCGTTCATCCTGAGGGCTTGGTGTACGTGCTCCAACTCACTGGCTAGGTGGTGCTGGTCAGAGATGCAACGGGCCCTATAGTGTAGTGTTTGATGAGGGAATTCTTCTGGGCTAGATGCTGGTGGGAGTCAGGCTTTAGATAGGCTTCTGTGTGGGTGGATTTCCTGTAGACAGTGTCTCAACGAGCCATCAGGTCTCTTCTCAATCAAAACATCCAGGAATGGTAGCTTGCCATCCTTTTCCACTTCCATATAGGCCGCTGTACGTGAGCTGTATCGTTCAGTTTCGTTCCGACAAACGGGGCACTACTTTTTCTTTTGCTCAATATGTTCAACGTTAATAAAAGGTATCCAAGCAAAAAGTTCTCCACGCATTATCCTGCAGTTAATGAGAAAAGTGTAATTTATTGGCGCACTATATTGACTGCGTATTGAGACATATAAAACTGTTGAGCTAGATTTTCAACCAATCAGCATCGAAAATGTAAGTAGGTCAGAGCCAAAATCAAGCCAATATCACTACGCACATGTAAACATGGAGGAGGACTTAAGCAGCGCAGCTTCATCTGATAGCGGCGATCAAACTCGATTAACACAGGTATGTTTACTCACTTGAATTGAATGTTATGCAAGTTAATATATTGCCAACTGGGTTTATAATTTATTCTTCATATTTTTAATATAGGACTTCTTCGTGAGGCAGCTCAAATGAAATCAGATGGGAGGATTCTGACACACATTCCTGGGAAAGACTGCATTGCAATCGAGGTCCGATACCACAAATCCTGCTATCGAGATTACACAAGATTTCTCAGCAAAACTGAAAAACATATAGGTAGGTAAAAACAAATGTTTGTTCACAAATCTGTGGGGTCACTCCAATTACATTTACATATTGCGTGTGAATGCAATGTAATTCCATAATCAAATTATTTCTCTATAGAGGGTAGGGCTTTAAATATACATGTCCTATCTAATGCTCTGACTGGAGCCTTCACTTAGCAACAGTGAGACGTATGCTGGTGTAGTAAGTATATATGGAGGCTTGACGACAGGATCGGAGGCACACTTATTTATTACACCAACACAGTTGTACAGGTCACTTGGCTACAGGGATTCTCGACAGCTAACCCCTCTAACCTATACCAATTCCTCCACTACGGGACTAGGGGAGGCTATCTGTCCCAGCTTGGTTAAGCTGGGATCCCGGCTCCCTGAGTCACCAGACCAGCTTCGTCTGGGCTCTCGGGGCCACGCCACCCGCTTGCCCTGGTCGGCCCTTATAAGGACAGCGAGCCAGGGGAGCTCTGGGGCCTACACTAGCTGGTCTTCCGTCTTCTCTGGTTAAAGCTGAGTCCCGACCCCCGAGCCTTTCGGCTCATCACCTTTTATAGGACTTGCCCCCAAGGGGGGGGCCCGTGGGGGATACACATGCGGACGTCAGTGCGAGCGCCACCCTTGTGTACGGCCGTAACCCCGCCCCTTGTGTTTGTTGGCCATCCGTGGCCATGCATAATCACACCTCAACATTCGTAGACATGCGCAATTACACCTCTACATCACCCCCCCCTGTACAGCTCGCAGCCGTCCCCGGCTGCAAAAAAAAATCAGAATAAAGGTGCATCCCTCACAAAAACCCCGTGTGTGCCTCGCGTAATTTTTAACAAGAACAAGAGAACCTTAACAAGAACAACAACAGGAAGAGAGAGAGAGAGAGAGGAAAAAAAATAACCCGACGCACCCCCCCCGAATAAATACCCCAAAACCAACATATATACACACACTCCGGACGCCACCCCTCCCATTGTCCGCAAGGCCCCCCAACGGCCGACCTCACAATAGTCTGCGCGTTTTGGCGCGCGTCCGCGCGGCGGGCCCATCACAAGGGCCCGTCCTGGCACGCTCAGTGACGGTTGTTGACGGTCCGGGTGCAAGAGAGTCAGGCGTCGCTGCCGAGTGACCCCCGACCCCTCCGGGAGGGGTTGGTGGGTGTGGACCCGTCACTCCTGTTTCACCTGGGGACGGAACAGTTGGCGTCAGGTTAGGCGAGTGCAGCGACGACGGGGAGTCGGCGACACCCTCACACGTTTGGCCATGCGTGTGTGTGTGTGAACCACGGGGCGGCGCGACAAATGGTTTTAACCTTGAGGGGTGCACATACCACCGGCGCCTCCCCCATTTGACGCGAACACATTGCGGCCGCAAAACCTGCACGACCTCCACTGGCCCCCGCCACGGCCGTACCAATTTCGACGAGGTTGCCAGCGGCACCTGAGGACAGTGCAACCACGCCCTGTCCCCTGGTTCCCATTTGACCACCTGCACCCGCCCCAACCGAAGCCTCTCGTTCGCCTTCTGGCGGAGTTCAGAATTTTGCACGGCCGCTTCCCGCGCCTCAGACAATTTAGCGATGTTAAATTTAATGTGTTCGGACAAATTAGACTTCGCCGGGAGCGCCGAGAGCTTCAGCTGGGTCGCCACAGGGGGGTTAACTTCGCGCCCATACATTAAAAAGAAAGGGGAAAATCCGGTGGCCGCATGAGGAGCCATTCTGTAGGCCTGCAACACACCGGCTATGCGGAGGTCCCAATCCGTCTGGGATACCGACACCTGCTGGGACAGCATGGACGTGATGGTCCGATGCAGCCGTTCCACCATCCCGTCAGTTTGTGGGTGATACGGAGAGGTCCGAACCTTCTCCGTACCCAAGAGGTCGCACACCTCACGTAGGAGTTTACCAGAAAAATTCCTACCCTGGTCAGTAAGCAGCCGTTCCGGAGCACCTTTGTCGAGGACATAGCCCTGGACAAAGGCCTCCGCGATGGCTGCTGCCGACTGGTTCGCCAGGGGCCAGGCCATAGGCCATCTCGTGAAGTATTCAACCCCCGTTAGTAAATACCTATTGCCCCTGGGCGTAGCGGGAAATGGCCCAAGTATGTCCAGAGCGACGAGCTCGTTAACCCGGGAAACTTTTATGGACTGCAGCGGAGGGTTGGACCCCCTCACAGGCGGCTTCCTCTGCGCGCATTGCGTGCATGACCCCAAGAGATCCCCCACGTCCTTTTCCATGCCCGGCCAGAAGAAATCCAGCTGGAGCGTGGCAAAGGTCTTGTGAACCCCCAAGTGCAGAAGCCGCTCATGAACAGCCCATACCACCTTACCCCTTAAAGCAGCAGGCACCACAAGCCGCTGGCGCCGGGTTTTTCCATCCCAGTGCATCAAAAGACCCTGGAACAACCCCCACGAGTCAACGTTTTCCACCCCCTGACCAGCCCCCCCGACGCGACGGCGCAAAGCGAGGAGGGAGGTGTCCTCCATTTGGAGGCGTCCCCATTCCGCGACCGGCAACCCCAGCAACGAATCCCTCCCTTCTTGCTCGATAGGACCCGAAGCCGAAGGTGCATCGGTAGCGGCCACGAGGACCGAATCGGTGGTGACGTTCGGGGGCCTACAACGCCCCGAACCCAACAGGCACGCGCACTCCGAAGTGGGTGGCAATCGTGACAGGGCGTCAGCGTTCGTGTGGCGGACACCCTTACGATATGTGGTGACAAAGTCATAGTCTTGGAGGATCTCCAACCATCGAGACAACTGGCCCGATGGTTGTTGAACCCGCAGGGCGTACTGTAGGGCCGCATGATCTGTACGGACGGTGAACCGCCGACCGTACAGATACGGGCGGTACTGCTGAATGAAATAAACAATGGCCAATAATTCCCGACGGGTAACGCAGTACCGCTGTTCGGCTGGAGACAGTACCCGACTACCGTAAGCCACCACATGCTCTACGCCCCCGATGAGCTGGGACAGCACACCCCCGATGCCCGTGTTACTTGCGTCAGTATCGAGCAAGAAGGGTTGTGAAAAATCCGGGTAATTCAACGGCGGAGCTCCCACCAAAGCATTTCTGAGGGCGCGAAAAGCAGCCTCCTCCTCCGGCCCCCAATGAAACCTGACTCCCTTGGACGTCAAGGCATGCAATGGTTTCGCAATCGTAGCGAAGTCAGCCACAAATCGCCGATAATACGACGCGAACCCAATGAAACTCCTGACCTCTCCCACAGAGGTGGGAGTCGGCCAGGAGCTGACGCATTCCGTTTTGGCGGGATCAGTGGATATCCCCGAGCGCCCAACAATGTGACCCAAATATCGCACCGATTCGCGGAGTAAATGACACTTCTGTGGTTTAAATTTCAAATTGGCAGCCCGCATTTTGAGAAAAACAGCACGCAACCTCTGGAGGTGTTCCTCGAAGGATTTGCTAAAGACGATGACATCGTCTAAGTAAATCAAACACGAATCCCATTGCAAACCTGCCAAGACCAATTCCATTAACCGCTGAAAAGTTGCCGGCGCAGAATGTAAACCCATCGGCAAACGGTTAAATTGGAAGAGGCCCTGCGGTGTACGAAAAGCAGTCTTAGGTTTCGATTCGTCATCCAGAGGAAGCTGCCAGAATCCAGATAGCAAATCAAGGGTGGAAAAGAATCGTGCACCGGCCAAGGCGTCGAGCGACTCATCCATCCGAGGAAGCGGGTACGCATCTGCCACAGAGATTTTGTTGAGACGCCGAAAGTCAACACAAAATCTCAGTGAGCCGTCGTGTTTCTTCACCAAAACGATCGGCGCGCCCCACGGGCTGGTGGAAGGGGAAATGATATCGGCGGCTAGCATGTCATCAACAGCCGATTTGACATGATCCTTTTCGGCGGGACTCAACCGAAAGGGATTTTGGCGGATTGGCGCGCTGTCACCCGTGTCAATATGGTGTCGCAGCAATTTTGTACAACCAATATCAAATTTGTGTTGACTAAAAACGTCAGCAAATTCGCTCAGGAGAACTCGCAGCTGCGCGCGCTGCGAGTCAGACAGGTCCACTGAACCCGCGCAAAGCGCATCCAGCCATCCGTCATCAGAGTCCGAATGCGGTCGCGACGGAGGATCGGTGGATACCTGACCCACGAGTGGTTCCTCATAGGGCACCGGCGTTGCGTGTGCAAGCACGGTCCCTTGAGGAACCACGGCCGTTCGCGATCCCACATTAAGGACTGCAATGAAGGGGTCCCCATCCCCTCTCACCATAGTCTGAGCCGCGAGCAAATCGGGTCCATTGACCCCGGCCCGAGATGGACCCAACAAGACCCCCCGATCCGCAACCCCTGCATCAAACGGCCGACGCAACCTAAGAGGGACGAGCATCTGAGCCCCCGGAGGCACGCGCACAGTTTTTGTGACGAGCGCCTGCACGGTGGCAAACGCCCGACGCTCCGTGGTGGGGGAAGACAGAAATGTAACGCGTCGGCCCGATGGGAGCTCAATGCACCCTTGGTCAATAAGGATACGGATGGGCATTTTGGCCAGAAAATCCGTCCCCAACAGGCACGGAACCGCGAGTGAGGAGGAAACCAAAACAGGGCCGGATAATTTAATGTCCCCAATGCAGATAGTGGCGCGGATTTGGCCAATAATGCCCAGAGAGCCCCCGTTAGCGGCATAGCACGGCACGTCAACAGGGAGCAAGGGACGACTTTGAACGGGAAGGATGTTATAAATTAAATCAGATATAATGGTCGCCGATGCCCCTGTGTCAATTAAAATCCGCACCTCTACCCCATCAATGTGACCGACCACGACCGATGATCCCGCCGACGCAGCAACGACACGATGGGCGAGCTCCGACCACTGACCCGGTTGGAGCGCTCGCCGCATTACCGAACAATCGCGCGCGACGGACGGGGAATTTGGAGCCCTGTTTAGTTGAGCGCGTGAGTGTGTGTCGGATGTGTGCGTGGGCCAAACGTGTGAGGTGCCGCGACTCGCCGTATTTCTCTGCTGGAGCTTGGGAGGAGACGGCGTGGCGTCCTGACGAGGTGTCGCCCCGCGCTGACGGGGAGCCCGGCATCCAGACGCAACGTGGCCTTGCAGGCCACAGTTGTAGCAGCGTGTGAGCGCCCCAGATGACCTGGGCTGCTCCTGGCGGCTCGGTCCATTCCGATCCTGCGGTGCCGCCGATCTCCATTCCCCTCGCCGCTCCACCCCGCAGACCTCCTCCGATGGGAGGGCGGTGGTCGCCATGGCATGGCCGGCCGCCCCCTTTGCCGCCTTCCGACGCAGGGACCGCAAGCCCCCGTGGATGTGGCGCGCGACCAGCAGGGACGACATCTCCGCGTCGTCCTGAGCCAAGACGTTGACGTCCAGCTCGTCAGCGAGTAGCAGCAGCTTCTCAGCCACCATGGCATCCACTCCTTCCTCGTCCATCCTTGGGAAAGCAGCCTTTGCCAGAGCCAGGAGAGCCGTCCGGAAGGCCAGGGGTGACTCGTTGGCGCCCCGACTCCGATCGTGGAACAGCTGCCTGCAGTCCGAAGGCGGCCCATAGACGGCTGACAGCAGCTGCAACGCCAGGTGTAGAGTGGCGCGCTTTTCCCTCGGCGCCGAGGTGAGGGTAGCCAGGGCGTCGTTGTCCAGCATCGCTGGCAGCGCGCGTAGAGCCTCGGCGTCCGACCAGTTCGCCATCTCTTGATGAGCGATGAACCGCCTCTTGAAGCCGCCCCAGTCTCCGTCAGCGCCGACAAATTCTTTAAGAGGCGGCAGACGCTGTTGTAAGGCGGCGTCCGTGGCCGCAGAACGCTCTCCGTCGCTCCCCGCCGATGATACAGTGTGGGCGGGCCGTGCACATGGCATCGCCGGTCGCTCTGATGTTGACGCGCCGGCCGGCGTTGATGATGTCACGGCTTGTGCTTGGCGCTCAGCAGACACGTGACGCGGGCCGGCCCCGCCCTCCGCTCGTACTGTAGAGATGGCGGGAAATTTGACCGCGAGCCGCGTCGGGGTGGCGGGAAACGTCGCCCCGCGCCGGCTGCCGTCGTCGACCCGCGCTGCTCCTCCAGCCCCCAGCCGCGTGATCTCCTCCAACGCGGCGGCCGCGGCGTAGAGCAGGTCCGCCAGGCGGGAGTGGGCCAGCCGGAGTCCTTCGGCCGACGCATCCCCCTCCTCCTGTCGTAGCGGCGCGGGCGTACTCGGCCCCGGCTGCTCCGATTCGACCCCGGCCATCACTGGTGGAGATTCGGCCGCGGCGTCTTCCATCTCCGACTCCCTGGTACGTGTCGTCCCTCGTGTGTCCATCGTTGGACGTTTACTTCTGACACCAGATGTAGTAAGTATATATGGAGGCTTGACGACAGGATCGGAGGCACACTTATTTATTACACCAACACAGTTGTACAGGTCACTTGGCTACAGGGATTCTCGACAGCTAACCCCTCTAACCTATACCAATTCCTCCACTACGGGACTAGGGGAGGCTATCTGTCCCAGCTTGGTTAAGCTGGGATCCCGGCTCCCTGAGTCACCAGACCAGCTTCGTCTGGGCTCTCGGGGCCACGCCACCCGCTTGCCCTGGTCGGCCCTTATAAGGACAGCGAGCCAGGGGAGCTCTGGGGCCTACACTAGCTGGTCTTCCGTCTTCTCTGGTTAAAGCTGAGTCCCGACCCCCGAGCCTTTCGGCTCATCACCTTTTATAGGACTTGCCCCCAAGGGGGGGGCCCGTGGGGGATACACATGCGGACGTCGGTGCGAGCGCCACCCTTGTGTACGGCCGTAACCCCGCCCCTTGTGTTTGTTGGCCATCCGTGGCCATGCATAATCACACCTCAACATTCGTAGACATGCGCAATTACACCTCTACACTGGCATGGTATTTTGCATATGACCGCCAAAATTATGCAAGGTACCTATCAGCATATTGGGTCGAGATGATCAATCTTCCAAAGACTCATCCACACTGCTATGAAGAAGTTACTGCAAAAGGAAACTGGACAGTATATCGTAAGGATGCTAACAGGTTCTCATCCATAGCTTGTAGAACAAACCTGCAACCGTGATTCAAAGACCAAAGGCGGCATAACTGGGATAACATTGAACAGAGGTGCCGTCCAGCGATGGATACTGTCTCATCCTGAACGTTCTGCAATCACAAGGCAGTGTGAAATGATGGCTGGAATGCAACATGAAGAGAGGGGTCATAAAGAGTTGGATGCAACAAGAATTGCAAAAGACAATGCTGCTGTTATATCTTTGGTTTCAGCGGTTGAGTCTTTGATCAATCCCTTGCTGCCTCGTGAAGATTTTGTAGGTATTAGCTCTGGTGTTGTTGCTACAAAGACTGTCAGAGATGACATACAAAGTGCTTGTGATAAAGGTGAAACAGCTCTGAAAATTTTCATCCAAGATCGAGTCCAGTCATCAAAAACAGACTTCTTCTCTCCAATAAAGTCATTGAAGCTCACTGCATTTGGGGATCAAATGAAGAAATCATCCAAGACAAAAGATGGAAATCAAGTCATTCTAAAAAATTACAGGAGACTCTTTGCACGACTGTTAGTGATAAGTCAATCCCTGTCTGTAAACTTGAAAGAGATTCTGACATATTCACTTGGCAATATCTCATCCCCGTTAGCAAGCACTGATGGTTCATTAGCCAAAACAAATAAGGCTGCTTTTCTAGCTTGTTTAGAATCAAAGAACAAGGACTGTCATGTAAACAAGACTGTTGGTGATAATGGTGCCCTACTTATAGATGGAATGGCATTGATCAGGAGTCTCAAGAATATACCAGACACATTCGGTGAGCTTGCTGATGATCTTCTTCAACTTATGATTAAGATGGGTAGAAAATTGTCCAAGGGTCGATTTTGTCATTGATCGCTACCCGGCAGTGAGCATAAAAAATGCTGAACGATCAAGACGTGCTGTTGCTGGACAACAATTACTGCAAATATACAGCATCAAGCAGAAGACTCCAAGTCAGTGGACCAAGTTTCTAGCCAGTGGTGAAAATAAAAAAGCCTTGACAGACTTTTTCTTTGAGACATGGAGAACTGTGCCTTTACAAGCAGCTGGAAAAGACATAGCTATCTTTGTGGCACACAGAAATGTATGTCATCAACTCACTCTTAAAGATGGCATTATGTCTGTCAAAGAGGTAGAATCTTTGACTTGTGACCATGAAGAAGCGGACACGAGGCTCCTACTTCATGCAAAACATGCCTGGAGTGAACTTTATAATAAGATAATAATCCAGAGTCCTGACAACGATGTTGCTATCATTTCACTTTCAATAATGGCTAAGCTTCCCTCAGCAAAGAAGTACTTTCTGACAGGAACAAACGACAAGCAAAGAATGTTAGATCTCCAGGCTATTGGTTCTGCTTTGGGTCCTTCACTAACAGAGGCACTGATAGGACTACACACATTCACTGGCTGTGACTCAACTAGTTCCTTTTATGGGAAAGAAAAAGAGAAACCACTAAATATAGTGTCTGGAAATGCAGAGTACATCCGTGCATTTGTTGCTCTTGGGAGGCAATTTGAAATGGACAGCACCACATTTGTGACCATAGAACGTTTTGTGTGTGAGCTGTATGGAGAAAAGGTATCAGATGTTAATTTGGCCAGATACAATAGGTTCTGTGTCCAGGCCTCTTCCGAACAGGCATTACCTCCAACAAAAGATGCACTTACAGAGCACTTCAAGCGTGCTAACTACCTAGCTGCAATCCACAGGAGAGCATTGGATCCTTTTATAAATGCTCCCAGTCCAGACGGCTTTGGATGGATTGTCAAGGATGGTGATCTCATCATATCATGGATGACTAAAGATCCAGCTTCCCAACATATTTTGGGGTCACTCCACTGTGGGTGTAAGTCTCGTACTTATACAGGTGGAAGGTGCTCATGCCACAAGGCTGACCTGGCCTGCACTGACTTATGTAAATGTTTTCATTGTGACAATGTGAGATTAACTGAGGATATTGTTTCATGTGAATCTGATAGTGAGGACAGTGATCTTGATATTTAGTGATGTGTATATGATAATAAAATTAATATAGGACATATGTATTTAATATAAATCAATCAAAATTCAATCTTGTTTACAATAATCATTGCTGTGAATATGTACATGTAGTGCAGTTGCTGCTCATGTATGCGAATTGACAATTCACCATTAAATGTGTTATTTTGAAAAGTGCTTTTTTATATATTATATTTTGGCTTAATTCTATTTGTTATTCAGATTTTACCTCAAATATTACCTTTCAATTGGAACAACATAATGAGAAGTAATTGGGATGTTAATGCTACAGCAGAAGTTTTCTTGACAATCTTATCATGTTTACTGTGCATAGATAGCAACTTCAGGTATATCACACATTTCAAACTGGTTAATTTTGTATTTCAAGTGGTAATTCTGCATTTTTGGGTTTATATGATAAACAGGTTTAAAAGTGCAAAATTCCCTATGGTTTCCCTTTTTTCAAAATGGGCACCTTTAGCATCATTTTTCTCAAAAACTGCAAGGTTGTGTGCGGAGAACTTTTTCCTAAGGAATCTCTATATATTTCTGATGTTAAATATTTAAAAAAGTAGGTAGTGCCCCACTTGGTGGAACGAAACCCTATTTCTAGGCCTCTTTTAGGCTACCGACAGCGGCCTAATAGTGAATTTGATAGACTGGTATATTGAATTGATGTGGTTGAGAAATTGGTTCAGTGCTGGCAGGCCATGTGGCCAGATGACGAACGTATCATCTCCGTATCTCTTCCACAAGGAAGGATGTAGCATGGGTGTCTGGATGGCATCTGTCTCAAATTTCTCCATGAAAACATTCGCTACCACTGGCGATAAGGGAGAAACCATTGGGGTACCTTCATTTGTAAAATGTACCATTCCAGGTGAAGTAAGTGTTGGTAAAGCAGTGCCTTACCAAAGTTGGTATATCTGGATTCAGTCCTTGTTGGACCAAGTCTTCAATGATTGCAATGGTGTCAGGTACAGTTACCTTGGTAAACAGGCAGACTAGTGTCACGGCATCTCTTCAGAAAAATAAGCGAGTTGGCGGTGTCCAAAGTTTTTTTAACGAGCTGGATGTCTCACTAGCACAACCACCTTTGTGTTGGTTCGCTTACATTGATATGCTAATTTCTCAAAATACAATGGCCACCTCCATAGCTGCGTCGTCGTGGAGGTATATCAGCTCTCCGATCTTACATTTACATGCAAATTCTATCTCTAGCCCCATCCACTTACCCTTGGGATAAACCCATCTCAAACCTATATAACATCCTGCTTCAGCAGCTCTCCTGCTATACTTTTTTTCGCCTGATGACGATTGCTTGTGTTGCGATCGAAACGTCGTGATATTTTTTTTATTTTTCTATCTACTTGGCTTTACCGAATGACCCAAAGAATATTAATCATAATTATTAAACATTGCTGATGAGACAGAAATCATTTAATACACTGCACCTTACTCATCTGCCAGTGTAAGGCTGCAATTCCAACCCAGCATTCCGGCCGTGCTGGCCAATCCAATTCAGGTCCGCGTGTATTTGTTGGACCAGAGGATAAATTCTCGAGACCCGCACAGTGGACCACAGTAAACCACTGGTGTCCGCGCTGCCCCAATGGAGCAAAAGCAAATTTATGCAGATGCTTTCCTGAAGCCCTCTCGTGACGAGCAGACTTCAACATTGGCACTTAACCCCTGAACGTATTGCCACATGTAAGAAGAGAGTTAGAACCAGGATAGTCTAATTTGTAATAGCTACCTGGGTCACCAAAATGACAAAGCAATAAAATCAAACATAGCAAATAAAGGAAATAAATACGAGCGAAAAAAACACGTCACAGAAGAAATCTAATACACGGGAGATTGACAGCAACATCGTATTAGCTACATTAGCCACCCAGTCACCTCCAAGCTATTTTTAGATATGCGCATGAAATAAAATAGGCGTGTGCCCATTACTGTAGATTATTACAGCAGCCTCCGGCTCTGATATGGTAGACTGATTGCTTTGAACCCGGAATGGAATGTGCATGCAAACGATATTGATTCACATTGATATTGCTGTGTTTTTCAATCACAGCTGAAAGCTGTTATTGCAATGCTCTAAATTGTATACTCACATTTCGATTTAAAGCTTTCGTGACTGCAGGGATTCATCTTCTTGGTTCTTTCGGTAAAGTCACGTAGAAGGGAAGTAATAAAATAATAAAAATAAAACATAATAAAATAAAATAATTCTCACGACGTTTCGGCTACAACGCAAGCAGCCGTCTTCAGGTGAAGAATGAGACACTGCCAAGCTAGGAGCTTATATAAGCTGAGTTGGAGGTGGAAGAAGAAGAGAGCCTCAACAAGAGAATGTGCATATCAAGAGGAATTTAGCATCTATATATATATAAAATCGCAAATCTGTCTGTCTGTCGGTCTGTCTGTGTGTGTGTCTGTGTGGCCGGACCATACGCAGTTTCATTGGACGGCGGTTGCCCCTGGCAACGGGTAGCGACGCATTCG